GGGGGGGTGCTGTCATCACAGCAGCTTAGAGGCGATCGCTTATCCACCAGGTTCCATTTCATGATTGAGCACAATTGCCGTTTAATCCTTGCTTGATCTTAGATGGCGATTACTGCTACACTTAGTTTAGACAGCAATTGATATGGTGTCCATTGCTTGTCCTTCCATCAGCTATGTTTTTGTTACTTTTTAACGCGGATACTTCCTTCGAACCAGGATTCGTTAGCCGATGGTTACACCATGGACTCTTCTCTGCCTTGTTCTCATATGAGGCTTATACCCTGCTGTTTGCACTGCTCCTCATTTGGGCACTGCGTAGGGATTGTGAAGACTGTAAAAATTATCTGTTTGTTAATTTCCATGTTTAATTAATTTATTTATACATCATTTGTACGTTTTACGAGAAGCCAAATGGTGGATGTATCAATCAGTTCGGCCATGAAATCTGCAACCATCACTTAAATTATATGGCAATACAAGCAACGATCTCTAATTCAAAGCAAAGGTAACAGCGGGAATAGTGGAAGGTGACAGACTAATATGAATTTTGACGAAAGGGATGTTCTGGGCAATATGAATTTTCTATTCATCTATCTTCCCTACCTCCTTTTTCCCTCCATCCATTCATTTGCAAGCCCAGCTGGTCCTTTCTCATCACCGAGCAGGAGGTTTAGACGATTTTTCTCATCGTTACGGTTTTCCCCTAACCAGACAAACTCATTGGGTTGAATAGAACGATACACGCTTATGTTTCATGAAATGAAACGTTTCTCCTCAAAGGAATGATGCTAGAAAATATTTTCTTGTTTCGTTTGAGGGTGATCGGAAACGATGATCTGACTGCCAATCCATTTGTCAAAATTTAAATGAGACACGTTTTTCAACCACTGAAATTTGCTTTAAAGTTGCTAGAAAATCATCCGACGGCCCAGGTTATCACTGTCTCGTTGGTCAACTGTCCCGATATTCATAATTAGCCTCCGATGCCGTCGCGATGGCCTTATGAAATATACGCCACGGCCTTTCTTTCCGGCATGCGGTCATAAAAACTCATATTTTGGTCATTGTTCTCGTCACAGACATAGATATAGATGATAAATTTCAGGCACATATGGAGAACACAAGGAAATGAGACTCAGCAGCACCGTCGAACATCTCGTAGTCTTGTATATGTATACATGTATGTATCGACGGTTCCTCTATGACCCCAGATATGCATGCCTGGGGGTATGTATATATGTCTCTATCGATCGATACTTTTTCAGGCCAGGCATCCATGCCTGAGCATATGTATACATGTATGTATCGACGGGTCCTCTATGACCCCAGGCATGCATGCCTGGGGGCATGCATATATGTCTTTATTGATCGATACTCTATGAGACCAGGCATCCATGCCTGAGGGTATGTGAACCAAATCGTAGCATAAATAATTATATCATATTTATGCATCATTACTTTGTTATGTACTTTTCTATAATCGTTGGTACCGGTCGTACTTTTATATGACAGAAACTGGATTTAGGAGAAAAGCCGCACATTTGCGAAGTGTGCCAGAAGAGATTTAGCAGCACCAGCAATTTGAAGACCCATCTGCGGCTGCACAACGGACAGAAGCCGTACGTGTGCGACTTTTGCCCGTCGAGGTTCACTCAGTTTGTTCATTTGAAGTTGCACAAAAGACTGCACACCAACGAACGCCCGTACAACTGCATGACGTGCAATAAGCGTTACATCAGCCCCAGCGGTTTGAGGACACACTGGCGAACAACCTCCTGCAAACCTCTTTCCGACACTCAATCCGCCGCGTCCGTCATTAACCGTTTCGTCTCGTTTAAGTACACTCCCGATGGAAAACAAACTGCCAAACTTGGTAACGACGATGACGTCACCAGCACGACATGTCAGTCGCTATGATGACGCCGTCCCCGTCACCAAACGAAAACGCTGATCTCAGTCCATTGTACATCTCGGGTATGGTACAATAACGTTCTGCTTGTGGATCGATGCTTTAGCATCGTACAGTCGTTTTGTACAGTAGTACGCATTTTTCAATAAACTATATTCGACTCCTGACGTTTGGCATGTGGCGATGCGGTAAAATTTGTATAACAGCCGCTGTTATGCTTTCGTCGAATTATTACATTGAATAAACGGCTATCAGAAGGGTGAAGACAAATTGCGGTCCTATGAGGAGCTCGCCTCGCGCCCAGTTTCTGATATGACCACAATATGACCATATTCCTGACTCAAACTCAGTACCTCTAATTCGAAGTCGATCACTTTGCCACCATGACACCGCCCCCTTCCCATATGCCATCTCGTATACCGATCGATCAACATGTAGAGCATGCCGATCAAATGGATGGACAAATGAATTGGAGATTAGTTTAGCCCATCTATGCTTCGCAGCTGGCATCCATTGGTTGACGAAATGCTCAGGAAACTATGAACAGAGATGCAGGAACCGTTGAATTTGAACAGTTCAGCTGATATGAAGATAATTTTCAACGAAATTCAAGAGCGTCCAACGAATAGGTCGTAACATTAGTAACAATGAATTTACTGGAATTTATTTAGTGATCATAAAAACAAAGTTTCATCAACGATCAGCAATATGATTAGTGATTAAACTCCAAAGATTAAGTATAAATTTTTCAGTTCAGTGGATCGATCCCATGCCGTGTTTTCCGCTGGAAGAGATGTTCCTTTTGAGGAGGCACACTTCTGTATTCTGGTTCATTCTGCAGTGAAAGATAAAGGGAACTAGGGGCTGTCTGAAAACCTCAATGTTACACCGAACGGTCATAAATTTGTTGCGACTCCCTTCAAGTTTGATATCCAAACCGCTGTACAGTTCTGAAGAGGAGGAGGATTCAATCACAGAGCTGTCCAGAATTTTACAGCTGATTGGGCAAGCAGCTTTCTAGAGTCATGAACATCAGACCTACAGAATTTGGCTAGAAACATTATCAGACATCTTATTTGGTCACAGAGGCGATTTTTTAGGTCATCGAAATGAGCGGAGTGGTGTAGAGAAAAAACGGTATCCTCCTGCCTTGTCAAAGGGTCTGCAGCATCTCGCGGCTAACACGCTTCTATGACGTTTCTTGTGAGATACGAAACTGCCTTTGTGATTTTTTCCCGTTACGGATGAAATTCATGAATCCAACGAGAGGCACTTGCCTATTTTCCTGCAAAGACATCTCACTTCCGAACCAGTAGTGAAAACTTCTAAATTCCCACAGGCCGTGTTCGATGCAAAATCAACGTATTGCCTCGGAGCCAGCATTACATATTCCCTTCGTGAGCTTGTATTAACCACGGGAAATCAAAAAGAAAACAATTTCCTTGAAGATCATTTTCATCACCTTTCATTTGATGCTGATGCTGTTCAGCTCTTTGATTTTACTTTGGAATTTTTCTGAGTATTCAGGGAGGATCAGAATGCTGTCAAAACCATAGGCGCAGAGACTGAGTCAAAAGCCTTCCCAAAATCGACCTGTCTCAGATATAGATGCAGCTGATATTCGTTGCTTGTCTAAATTACTTTTTTACCATATGGAGATGATCTTTCGTACCAAATCCCATTTTACATCTTGCCTGCTCTCTGAACTGCGCAGCGTCCAGTTTTTCTTGAACTCCGTGCATCGGTACCTTCGCGAAGATCTTGTAGATGATGACAGACAATAAAATGATGGGCCTTTAATTCTTCAAATCCCTGCTTTCTCCCTTTGTTCCGACTTGAATCACCAATCTGCTAATCCAGTCGTCGGGAATTTTCAGGTCCTTCCGACAGGGAGAAGACAAACATGCTAATATGTTTGTGAGCGCTTTGTTTTCGAGTCCGCTGTAATGCCTTTTGCACCAAGAGTGCTTCTTCGCTTTTACCCGCTTCAATGGCAGGTAGCACATTTTCTGCCAAGATATCGCGAATTTCCGGTAGGTAGCTTGACTGGTATTTTCAGGTTCTTTTTTGCATTCTAAAATGTTGCTGCTTTCCTCGTTATACAATTTTCTATAAAAAAACTTTACTGTCAGTAGAATTGTTTGTCTGTCCCCTGATAACAATCCGGACATCTGTACAGAGTGCTAAAATTTGTCGTTTCCCGACCAGAAACCCTTGATTTAATCTCTTGATGTCTCGGTTATCTTCAACAGTTTCCTAGCCAAACACCGCTGTTCAATGCTTAGCTAAAGTTTTGCAAAGTTCAACGTTTTGGGGCTCTGATCTCTTGCCTGTTGCTGCCTTCATGTATCTTCGCTGTTTCATGCATTGTTTCGTTTGCTTTGTGAAATTCAGGTCAACTTTCAGAATTCTTGTTTCGGAGGCGTTTTCTGCCGTTTGTGTAATGGCCTACACAATATGTTAATATCCTATATGTTTTCCCTGCTTCTTCTAGCATATCAAGGAGAACGGTTTCAAATTCGAATCGGTTTTAAGACTTTAGCTGCAACAACGGAAGGTTCTTCTGTAGAGTTTCCACGTTCATTATCCTGTTTCTCATCCTCGGCTATTGCTTCCTTCCTAAAGCTACATGCAGACGCAATTAGCATCTGTGGTTGCTCCCTTCATTAAACTTGTTCAACGCCGTTGAAACTCCTTGAACTCCTACTCTTGTGCTCTTATGCTGCAATTTGCTGTTATTAAAATGGCATTCTTTTTTTACAGATATATCTTGAGGACAATATAATAAAAACTAGTTCTACAGAATTTAATCATTCGTAATATCACGTATAACAGTTACTAAAGGTAAACCTGCAATAGGCGCAAGAGCCCGCTTCAGTAGGTTAGGATGGTGTTGCTCCCCATTCGCCAATAACACCTGTTCAGGACCAAAACCTAACAAAGCACTCCTCTTCTCAGGTCCTGGATGAAGGTTTAAGACAGCAAGTCCACTGACATGTTCGGCTTTCAGGTACAAACAACGGAGGAAGCTGAAGCATATTTTTTGGACGAATTTTTCGGACAACATGTCCACAGCCAGAATTAACAAGAACGACTGAGCACCATCACTGTGAATTGTTTTAACCTTTGAGTGAGGAGGATTAAGGGGTGTAATTTCTACGTTTTGATCTGTACCTTTCAATCAGCCTTTCATTGGAAAGCTACCGGGAACGAGTTTAGGTATTTCCGGTTCATCAGCATACACAGGCTCGAAATAATGAATAGTAAATTTTTACTTCTCCTTAGAGTGAACGTAAATGAAGGCAGAAGCCACCTCGTTCAACGCTATCTCGAAGTGCTAATCCACGCAGTAATATTGAACTCAAATATTCTAAAATGTTGGTTTCCCCAAGGAGTCTAAGTTCCTAAGGCGAGTTCGAGATACGTATTGATAACTTCTTAAGCTTGTCGTAATGCTACAATATTGATTAGATTTATGAAAAGAGTTACGCATCCTTTTTTCTGTTTTTCTATGATGTCACGCTGCGCCTTAATTTACGTACCACAATTATGGACCGTACGATTGTAAACAATTGAATGGCGCTGATTACGAGGAGTGCTCGTTTCTGGCACCTACTGAAGCATAGTAACAGTGAGTTTGAGCGAGTGAAAACCAAATTCTGTAGCGGTTGAGGTCGAAATGATTTCATGAGTCATCGTATCTAAGATTTACTTACTCAATTAGTGGAGAAATAATGCTTAATTGACTCTGCTGGTGGTCAGAGAAGTGACAGCTTTTAGCGTCATTACATTGAAAGCGAAAGATCAGTGGTGCTAGAAATCGAAACATCGGTTGGAGGCGACGATCAGTCACATTTTTGCAACCTGCTAGATTCATAAGTTTGCCACATTTCTTTGTTGACTGTCGCCGTTTGTGGTTCTTCTGCTTCCCGCGTCTTCACCTTTCGAACTGCCCTCAAGGCATCATACTTTAGCAATGAGCAAAGTGCAGCCGTAATTAAAGCGGATGGTTGTTTCGAAGGCTGGCAGAACCACAATGACAAGTAATCACTGACCATTACCCTCCATATAGAAGGAATAGTTCACTAGGCAAAGGTATGTATTTTATGATAGACGAATATATGGCTTAGAGGAAGTGCTTCCGCAGACATTATAAGATTCATATAGATACTAACTGTTTTCTTGAATATGCCCTTAAACGAAACAAAACTTTTAATGCCATTTTTTAAATTCACAAAGCTGACGATTATTGATGGCCTTTAATCGTCTTCACTCTCTACTACAGTAAACTTAGGATTCATCAAAGTACTAGTTTCTGTTTTAGTCACAGGATAGCTCTGCAGAAATTACCGACGATTCAAGTCTTCCTTAGCTCGTTTGTCAGGGTAGAAATGTCCACATAAAATCATGAATGAACAGTGTTCAGTTTAAAGTTTAAGGTCAGTAGCTTGTTCCTAATTCGAACATAAGATTTACTGCCAAATGCACAACGAATCTATTACACAAAACTTTTAGAAAATTTGAAATGACGGTGGAGCAGCAGCACCACATAAGGAATGACTCTTTTCTCTTCCGTAAAGAGGTGACCTCCGTTGATGCGAAGATTAAGAAGAAGAGGTGGTCTGTTAGACAAACCGGTAGAGCGTACACTATTTACTTCAGCCGATGAGCTTCCCATTTTGTAACAGAAACACGGCAGGCGTCGAGCAGGAGGCTACCACGCAATATGGAAAAACAATGTGTAGGCAGATTCGCTTTCGGAGCAAAATTGTTCCTTTTGCAATACAGTGACCGGTGCCCTATAAAAACGTCTTGAAAAGCTGTGGATACAGCAGTCAACACAAACCAGACATGTTCTGCTTATGCAAATGGCTCGAAAGGATATCCTCAGCAAACAAAACAATCCACTCAGAGGGAAGGAGCAGTAACTTGTTGGCGAGCCCAAAATTACCGACTGAATGGAGTAAGAGCTTCCTTTACAAAACGAGCGCGCTCTGGAATTCTGAAC